GTACCCAGTACTTGGATGACAAAACATCAGAACAGATGATGGATGTTTGTTTCTGCGCTTAATATTTAGAAAGGTCACGTTATTTTTGCTGTTATTAAGATGAATAAATATAAGAATAGTACTTTGAGATTACAGGTTCGAGTTCCCGTTTCACCTGCTTCAGCATACGTGGTAACTGGGTGATATTAAATATAATGGAGAAAATTTGTAGCTCAGATGGATGATTTTGATGTGGTTCTGTTGTCTGAGCTGTATAGTTAATTTGCCCCCTACTAGACAACATTGTCAGCGCATACTTCAATTTGATGAAGTGAGCTTTTAAATTTCTCCACGAGTTTATAAGTCATCTCTCCTGGTGTGTAACCTTGAACAACATCATGATTGGTTGTTTCTGTGTGTTTCTACACCCCTAGTCTGCTACTTGTGTGTGTATTGGTTTTGGTTGTTTGCTTCACCTGGAGTTGTTGATCCTTTGTGTATGAGATTTCCTTCTAATCGATTGATAAATTTTGTCAGTGTTGATGTGTCTATTAATTGAAGATTGATTGGAATACCAGACTTCCGAAAAATTCTTTGTCATTCTTGGTCTTTTATTCGTTGTTTAATATTTGAACGTTCGTTGTTCCAGTGGAATTGATATCCGTGGTTGTGTGTATGCAGTGAGTGATATTGTGGTGAGAGCAGGCTGCTAGCCAATTGGTAGACATTAATTTACGTCAATGTCTAGGTTACTAGTATTGACCGTGAGAAAATATGTGTCCTTTGATACAGGGTTGGCTGGCTGACTGGGTGGCTGAGTGAAGTGATTTTGTTGGTTTGTGTGTGACATCGATACCCAAAGGCTTGAAGAGTCTTGCAGTGGCTTATTTCAGAGATGCTGTCTTTTATATATGGCAAGGCGATATTTTTGTGTTTTCCTTGGGGGTGGGGGCTTTGATTTGGTAGGTTGTCTTGGGGGTAGATGTCTTTTGATGAAGTTTCGTGGATGTCCATTGTTTAGGAAGACGTCCATGAAATATTTTTCTTTAATTTTCCTGAAGGTAGGAGTGCTGCAACAAGTCCTGGCTCTTTTCAATAGTGTTTGTATAGCACTCCTTTTGTGTGTTATTGGGTTGTTTGTGTTGCTGTAATTGAGTGTAGTATTTGGTCTGTGTGATTTGGATTTTGTATAAACTTGAGTTTGTAATTTCTCTTTGTGGTTGTTGGCTTGACTAAGGCGTCTAAAAGTGGAATTTTGTTCTCGGATTCCTGTTGTCTTGTGAATTTGATTTTGTTGAAGATGTTGTTTATTAAGTTGTGAGTTTAATCCAACTCGTTTCCCTTTTGATTATTACAAATGTGTCATCCACTTCAATTCAAATTGAAGTTTGCTCTGATGATGTTGTCTAGTAGGGCAACGAAAGCTTCACAAATTAACTATCCATCTCTGGGTGATGTTATCAACCTGCTTACACGATGGATAATGTTTTTCTTAGCCTGGCGTACGAAAAGTCTCTTCCATTTAATTGACCTGGAGCATAATTGCATCACAGGGTTGATTATTATTTAAGCGCATAAAAACTTGGTACATTATGGCACCAAGAAGGATGCGCCACACAATAATAATAAAACAACATAGATCAAAAGAAAGAAAGAAGAGAAATATATATATATATATATATATATATATATAGGTAGAGAACGGATAAAGAACTTCATCTAGAAGGAAAACGGTCATGCTTAACAAGTCCAAACAGTATTCGTTAACTGTCATCGGGAAGGGAAGAAAGAAGGAAATTGCAACACGTGTAATAGCACGCGATAAGTTCCACTGATTGTTTGTTACTTTATTCAATTGATTGTGTGAGGGCTGAGATACTGCCGGGCGCCCAGACCGAAGCAGGTGGTTTTATTAAGGGACCACCCCCCGAGCCTTTGACTTGGAGTCTAATCTGCAGGGCAGCGGAGCAGCGTCAGGAGCTGCATTCCATGGTTTCCGGTGACCCATATGGGTTCATACGCCATTTGATCCAATTGAATACTGGAGCCCATGTACCCCATGGTAACTGCTTTTAGTTTAACCGCTATCCAAACAACCTTCCTGACATGGTAGGACCTGGAGGCACAGAGTCCTAGTCAGTTTAGCATGTTGGGTCATTACGGTATTCAAGCCCGACCACCACGGTAAGGTAGCAGTTATCGGCGGGGCCATCACAGGGTTAATCGACTTGATGATAAAATCAAACAGTAATCTACAGTGTTATTTTACTCATGACGTTTCAAGCACAATTTTTTGCTGTTCATAATCATACTTCAAGGTACTAGCCATTTAACTTTCCAACTTTGTTTATATTAGTTCCATTAATTCTTATCCTTTCATTTTTTATTGACAGTAATAGTTTCTAATATCTCTAGTATTGATGCCTCCAGTCTTTCCTACTGCATTTGTTGGGTATACACCCAACCAATGTGATGGGATAAACACTGAGATTTAGGAATCAAACCTCTCCCTTCATCTGGCTATATTAATCTTTTATTATTATTATAACTGTAGCTCTGCCCTACCCCACCCTATTATTTGTTTGTTAATGCATAGATTGTGATTGATTTCAACTTTTCTGTAAACACAGACGATTTTGTCACAGTTAACGATTCATAATGCACAACCCTTAAATATTAATAACATCAGTGTATCAATGAATTAACAATGAAAAATAGAATTCATACTGCCGTCAGATTTCAACGCCTGTGACTGAATGATGGATGATGTGTTGTTCATCTCATAACTCCAGACTCCTTGATGCGTTCGATTGCTCAATCCATTCAGCCAACAATACACGCCTTTGTTTTGGTTAACCAGATGACGCCGGCTTATGATTTATACTAAAGTTTAATTAAAAATTTTCAAGTATTGATTTTTGTAGGGATTTTGTTTGATCCGCTGTAGGATTTCATCATGACCTGATATCAGTTAGAGAGAACCATTGGACAGCCAGATGTTTCATCCTAGTTTGGGACTCTTCATCAGCGGGATTCGGTGGCAGGGGCTTTTAGTGGTCTACGAGCTCGCTAGCCTTGTAACCAGAAGGTATTGGGACAGAACCCCCTGGTGGCGGGTGCGTAGTGTTGAGGAGTACCAAACCAGGTTGACGAAACAACAGGCTTTCCAGTACTCCTTACAAGTGGCGATATGTCGACAATGATACTTTCATAGTGTTAAAAACAGAATATATCTCTAGTTTCTTCAAACACACACTTATCAACTGAATAGTTGCGGGAATTTGCATCAGCCAACCCCAGCGGGTTGATCGATGACGAAATTTCAAGTCGTTTGCCATTTGCCAATTCACACCATCTCTGGGTTAGTAGACGTGATATCCAGTTGGCTAATGATCAGAAGACGTGTGTATTTCTCAATAGTTCTCTCTGTTCTCCTTTATGACTGTGAGTTAGACATGGAAGTGGAAGATATGAAAAGCACAGCCAGCTGTCTTTCATCATAGGTGTCTGCCTATTGCCTTCAATGTTAAGTGGTCTGTCTGTCTGGATTCAACATAGAACTTGCCACCGAAGTGCACCAGTTCGAGTTGCCACGTTCCAAATACCACACAAAGTAGACAAGAAGATGAGTGAAGAGAATCAATACAGTCTGACAAGTATAAGAGTGATTCAGAATGGGTAATGGTAGAAATGAAATGAATATGAAAGATTACAGAGACTGAATACATCTCCGCTGGCCATTGACAACGATTTTGAGCCATGTCACCACCTATTGTCTCCAGCCATTGATTCCTAGAGTCAGTCCCGAGGCCCCAACCCGGAAGTCTCCATCTCCCTACCTGACCGACCGACTCAGTTTAACTGTCAAGGATTTCATGGATTGATGCCATGCCATGTTTTTGTTTGGCCACCACTTCACTTACTCTCTTCCAACCTGCACCTATCTATATCAGCTAGTAATGCCCGTTGGGGGAGGCGGTGGTTAGGCATGCGCACGCAGCACGTCACCTAGCCATCTCAATCTATGTAACTTTATAGCCTCGTCGATGGATTTTCCCTCTTTGCCAAACACTACGCCTAACGTCAACATTACTTACCTTATTATACCACCTAACGTGAGAAAGAGAGCGGTAGACATCTATGATCAAAAACAATCAACCTTTTCATGTCTTCAACGCGTATTGGCCATGTTTCAGAGCCATAGAGAAGGATGGAGCGAACTGATGAGCAGTACACACGTCCCTTGTTTGATAGCCGGGTTTCACACCTACGCCAGAGAAGCATTGGAAAACCACCAGGGAGTACTGGGCAGTTAACTGTTTCGTGAACCTAGTGTGTGGGACTCTTAACAGTACGTACCCACCACCAAGGTATGAACGCAATACCTTCTGGTTACAAGGCTAGTGAGCTTGTAGGCTATTCATCAGCCATTGGGACCCGATCCAATCCAATGGTCAGCCCATGAATTCTAACTTCTGCCGATGCACGACATAGCGCGACCGCTAGTCAATACTCGATCTGCTGTAGCCTACTGGTCACTACTGATGAACAGTCCCAAACTAAGACGAAACATTTAGCTGTCCAGTATTTCCAGTTGGTTTTCCAATGCTTCTCTAACCTATGGCAGCTCATAATGAAATCCTGTAACCAATCAATCTAATCCCTACAAACCAATACTTTTTTTCCTTCACGTTCCCAGTGGAACATAGGGCACTTTGAAGCTGGTGGCTTGAAGTTTCTTGTAGGAGTGTTTAATTTTACAGGATGAGGTTGCTAGCCACCTCATGCCCAAACTTTCCTCTCTACCAGGATTATTTCTGGCTTAGCGAGGTAAAGGAGTGCGTCGGTCGAGGATAGAACCCCAGACCATGTGCATGGTCGGCGAGCGTCCTAACTGCTATACACCACCGACGCACAAACCAATACTTGAAAGCGTGTATTTTGTCGTTCAACTTAATTACAGCGTACATTTACCCATAATTGTCTTACTTTATCTCTTGTGTTATTATTGCCTCATATAGATATGTGGTCAGCTGGTTGTGTTATCGGTGAACTGTTACTGGGAAGACCACTTTTCCCAGGTGAATCTGGAGTAGATCAACTAGTTGAAATTATCAAAGTACTCGGTACACCAACACGTGAACAAGTTCTAGAAATGAATCCTCATTATAGTGAATTCAAATTTCCTAATATTCAAGGTTGTTCATGGGAAAAGGTTAGTATATATATGCATATATATATATATATATATATATATATATATATATAGTACTGTTCATTGTTATAGTATTATTAGAAATAATATTTTTTTTGCCTTAAATTTATGAGGGAATTACCTGTAATGCTGAAGATAAAGTACATTAAATTGAAAATGGATAAAAAGCTATTGTCCCCTACTATATTCTTTTTTGTTTTCTAAAACGCCATGAATTTCGGCGCAGTTCTTTACTCTTTACTTGTATGCGTGTTGTTTCTCCTCATAGTGATTAGGACATGTTTTATGGATACCAAATGATTACCTTCACATCGAGCAAAGTGTTTACTGAGATAAGAGTAACTTAGAAAAGCCTCAAGGTATCCGTTTATGAAGTCTTTGACTATTGGTTTTAGCCATGTAAGGAGCTGTAGGCCACCTGACTGGAGTCTCCAAGACGTCAAGAATTAATGGTGGTTAGTTAGAGACTGTTAGTGGTATGGCTCAAAAATATTCTGAATGGAGTAGATCCCTTCACTTTTTGGTATCTCCCATATCCTCTGAATTCTTATTATTCTCCATGTACTTATTTTCCCACCCACGTAGATTTTCATTTTAATATGATTTCTTTCCTTATTGTGAATCCCCATAAAACGATCTAGTGCTGTTAAGGGTGTGAGTAGACTTTGGTCCTCCACTTGAATCGCTCTCATGTGGCCAAGCATACATAGCCTCTTTCAGGTAGGCTTTATTAACCGCCTCCACGAGGGCAAAGGTTTGTTCTTCACAATAGTGAAAAGCAAACGGGAACGTCTGGTGTCCACAACCGGACCAGTGACTGACTGATTCCAACGTAGAATTTTGCACAGATAAGTAACAATTCGAGTTGCTACACTCCCTCTATGTAGCGCACAAAGCAAGTGAAGAGAGTAAAAAAGACATTCAAAAGCAGAGAGAGAGATAATAAACAGAAGTGTGAATGAGGGTAAAAGAGTAGTTTTATGTAAGGACAGTTCAGTTCTTTTGAATTTGACAAATCACAAAGAGTGAATACATCTGCGCCAGCCATTGACAATGATCTTGAGCCATATCACCCATAGTCGTCTCCAGCCTTCATTACCATCCTGAGGACCCGAACCAACCAACCGGTTGGGAAGTCTACACTTCCCTGTGTGGTTAGCTTAAACTAACTGTTGTCGATTTCCTTGACTGATGCCTCCATGTTTTGCTTTGACCACCAATCACTAGCTCTTTTATAACCTGATCCTATGTCAGCGAACTTTTCCCATTGTTGAGGGAGCTGATGGCTAGGTATACGTAACACATATCCCAACCATCTCCCTCAATTGATCTAACTTCAGAACTTCGTCGATTGATTTCCTCTCCTTACACTCGTCTCCTAACCTAAATATTGCTTACCTTATTATACCACTTAACAGAGGAGTTAGAATGTAGACCAGCTAGCCAGTGTTTCCATGCCTTCCATTTTCAATAGCCATGTCTAACTCATGGGTATAAAGGAGAACGGAGAGAACTACGTCCTCTGATCGATAGCCAACTGGACATATAACGTCTTCTAAGCCAGAGATGGTGTAAATCGGCATACAGCAAACCGGCCTTCTTCTATCGGTGTTGAGATTTCGTCAGCGAACAACCCGCTGGCGTTGGCTGATGCAACTTCTTCCCAAATAGGTGAAGTGGTGGTCAATACACTCCACCAACTACTTCACTCCTGCCTATCTTTAAGCAAGGAGGAAGTTAATGTAGTCTAGTCCAGCTCTGTATCATCATCTTATATTTGACAACAGGAGCGAATCGCATGTTAAACATCCGAAGATTGCTGCTGCTCCTCAGAGTGTCTAGAAGACTGCTCCATTTCGTCAGCATCTTCACCTAGAGGGACTACGTCATCGTCATATTTTGAGTCAACGGGATTATTTTTTGGTAACGTATGAATCCATGAGTTGCTGAAATCAGTTGGGATTAAGTCTATTAGTACATCCAAGATGAAATTAAATAGGAATGAGGACAGTGGTCATCCTTGATGTACGCCACTAGTTGTCACTACTTCAGATGACAACTATCTCTAGGCTCTCACCTGACCGGCTGTATGAGTTCGAGTAGAGTGCCTTGGTCGGTGCGATTTTTTTAGGCCTTCCTTCTCTTCACAGCAAAACATCGCCATAGTACCTGTCGGTCGACGGAGTCGAATGCCGCTTCCAGGTCAAGAAATATGACGATTGTTGGACTCCGGTAATTGCGCCTATGTTCCAGAATCTGTTGAAGGGTGAAGATATGATAACATCGGAGATTTGGACCCACTCTAACAAGTACGTCCATAAGAGACGCTACCATTGAGCTTATTTTAGCTCCTGATTGTTTCCAGTTACCTGACAGATTTTTGTATGCACTTGGGTTTATTTCAAAGGGAATGAATGATATTTCAGTGCCAATATAATAGGTAGGACATATTGTTTACACACTTTTGTGTATCTGACTGAGTTTCAACATGCAACTTAGCACAGAAGGACAGCACTCCAAGATACCTTACTCCATGTAACACCTAAGGGCAAAGGAAATAGACAAGAAAGGGATTCAAAAATACTATAACCAGCAGAAATCTGAGGGAGGGAAACAGAATAGTTACATGGAAAAAAACATGACGTTTCAGTGGGTATAGGATATCGCATTGAGTGGATGCATCTGCACCACTGAGAAGTATTTTAAGCCACATTTCCAGTTGTTTCTAGTCATGGATTCGTGGCACCCCAACCAGTCGGACAGCTTACACACCGTCCTACATGACTGGTTAAAACCAACTGTTAAAGAACCTATAGGCTGATTCCAGATTTTTTGATTTAACCACCTCTACCTTTCCCCTGCAACCTCTAATCCCATGTTAGCTAACATTCCTCGATGAGGAAGGCAGTGGCTCAGCATTTGCAACACGTGTTCTATCCATCTTGATCGATTTACCTTCGACTGACTTAGCCTCCTTTTACCTTACATTCGACGCCTAACCTCCATATTACTCACCATATTGTATCATTTTACACCAGAGGATAGAAGGCAAACATCTATTGTCAAAGATAGATAGTCTTTTCATGTCTTCTACTTTCAATGGTCATGTCCTATAGACAATAACCCAACCAGTTATCAGATCTACACCAGGAGCAATGTATATCACACTCAGCCGTTTGTATCTGTGCTGAGATTTCGTCAGCAATCAGTCTATAAGGGTTGTATTAACTAAGTCAATAAGTGACCAGCACACCGAAACCACCCCACTGCTTATCTGTAAACTAGGAGTCAGTACAGTCCTGTCCTACAGCATCATCTTACACATTTGGCAAGAGAGAATCGTGATTGGAAATGTATTTTCTTTGTAAATTATTGGATTTATACACTGAATTTTATTTACGTTTATTTACGTTATATTGAGTTATCGAGTGATAACTGAGAAAAGAGGAAATCTGCCTATAATCTCTCCCTATCTCTTTCTCTCTCTTGCTCTTCTATTCTTATTTTACAGATAATTCGTAATCGTAGTGCAGACACAGCCTTCTGTGTATTAGAGAAATTATTAGTCTACAGTCCTAAAACCCGTATGACTGCTTCAGATATCTTGGGGTGTAGTTTCTTTAGTGATTTGATCTCACCACCACCTGGACATCCAGCTGATGCAACCGGTCATCTACCAAGTGGTAAACCAGCGCCAAGTTTTATAAATCAATTCACTGAAGAAGGTAATGCGCCTTTTTTGTTGTTATATTGTCTAAATTAAGTAGTAATATTTATTCTTATTTCATTGGGTTCCGTGTGTGACGTAGGGCTTCAACAACACATCTCCATTCCCTCCTGTTCTCTGCAGTTCTCTTCATCTGTCTCTACGATTACCCATAAGCTCGCATCTCCTCCTCACACGATTTCCTTCATGTATCACTTCTCCTTGGACGTCTAACTCGTCATTTCCCACTCCGGATCCACTTGTTATTATTATTATTGTTTTCTGGAGGAACATAGGGCTTCAGCCGCATGTCTCCATTGCGCGTTCGGTTCTCTGTCAACGTTTTCACGTGGCTTCACTTTTGTACAACATGCTCCCATCTCCTTTTCGCATGACCTGCTCCATCTTACCCTCGTACGGACGACCAACTGACACTCCACTTCCCATTCGGCTCCCACTTAAGCGATGGCCTGGCGTGTGTGTGATGTCACTGGCTTGATGGTTTGTTTTCTCAGAATATGACCACTATTCCACCTCCATTTCTTTCTGCATATTTGTTGCACAATCAGTTCCTGCTGGGTTGGTTGGTTCTTTCATTGCCAGAGATCCTTGTTGCTGATATTTTCTGGCCGGCCATTTGATCTTGAATAGTATTGAGAGAAGACAGCTTTTGATGAAGGTCTGTAGTTCGTTCGAAGTGTCCTTCGTGACACGGCGCTAAGTCTCTGATCCGTATAGTAAGTATCACTGACTTCACATTGGAGTTGAAAATCCGGATCTTATTTTTCATGATGAGTGCTGTTGATCTCCACACACAGACTTGAGAGTAGTGGAAGCTTGCCTTACTTTCCCTATCCTCGAGCATTGATATATCCTCATCAGTTCCGTCTGCCTGTAGTTGAAACGATGCCCAGTTAGGCAGGTAGGTAGGTAGGTGAAGGAGGTTACTTCTTTCAAATTTCTCCCATTTATGCTGATTGTTGTCTGCTGTTGTTGTTGTGGCTGTTTCTGTTGGCTAGAAATCATCACCTCTGTTTTCTGTATGTTCACCTATGTTTGATGCTTCTTCTGCCAACTTGTTGTTTTTGATTTGCATAACTTTTAGTTTGTGGGAAATCAGACATATATCATCGGCGAAGTCCAGATCCCCCAAGTTTTTTGTTTGGGTCCATTTTATGCCTGTTTCCTCGCTGCCCGTCACTGTCTGTCGCACTATTAGGTCGGAAGCGTGATTTCACTCAACGGTCTTCTCAACGTGTCTCCAATCCATCTGCATTTCGTTCGGCATATTTGTTGGGATGCGGGTTCTTGGTTAGTTCGTTTCCAGACTTCTTAATTGCTTATTCCTTCTGACCACTACATCTTCAGTGTCGTGCGGAATCAACCGTTGGTGAAAGTCTACAGTAGCTTGTTGGAAAAGTAGCGACCAAATGTTTATTCGGTAATCATCTGGACGCAAGAAACTGATCTCTACGTCTATTATATATATAGCCGAAAAAACTTCGTTGTGAGACGCGCCATCATAAGGTGTTCCAAAGGCTGGAAAAAGACCATTATTCTCCAATTTATTTTAGCGGTTCTTTTAAACAACAACAATAATAACATTAGAGCTCAAATTTACCTCGACATTACTGTGAAGCATCTATGCAGGCAATGTTGTTTTCTGAATACAAAAGCAGTACATAGAATCAAGGAGAATAATCCCGAACTAGGTGGAATCAAGAGCTCTGTCCACACAAGAGTCACACACACCAAGGCTCTTCTGGTCAGAATGACCTTCATTCACTCAAACAAACTCATGCCGCTAAACAACACATTGGCACTGTACACACAACTACAAAGAGGAGTATTATAATGATAGCCAACTAAACAAGACAAGACAAAGGCAAATAATAAACGTCAAAAATCAGGATGTCATATGCAAATGTCAAATGATTGATACACAATCTAGGGGGTCGGTGGGGGTGGGGGGTGGAAATACGTATACTCATTACAAAGTTGGTTGAAATGTCTAAATCAGTATAAACATATCATGAATAGATCGTCCAGGGGGGGGTTCTAAACATTATATCAATCGCTAGCCAGAATAGCTCAGCGGTAACTTCTCTGACTGGCATCACTGGGTGACAAGGGGTTCGAATCTCAGAAGGGACATGAGGTTGCAGGTACGCGTTGCTGATGAGTGCCAACTAGTACGAAACCTAGGTCAGGTGAGGCTTCCTGTGGTCGATTGCTTACAACCATCTAAACAATATATCCATTGAATAGTTTAGATTAAGCATGATATCTGACGTATCATCACAGGTAGACAAAAACACAGTCATGGTGACGGTTGTAATGGAGAGAGAGAGAGAGAGTTACGTGAGAAAATACAGAGTATCAAACTCATCGTATCTCAGATAAAACTAATAGACTGTTTTTTGGGGGGAGGGGGGAAGACTGACCAATTTGTAATATGAGGATCAATACAACCTGCCAGTTTACGAGTCTCTTTTGTTAACCAACTTCGTAATTAGTCGATTTACTAGCCTACTGTCCTAATCACTATTCTCAATGACAATCGCCACAATCCACTGTGACTCATATCCGATGCAAAGTAGAAGTGAAGAAAACAGATCGTTGAGTAGAGAGTTTTCACTATCTCAGATTAACAATGAAAAAAAGCTTGACAGTAGTTTGTGTGAAGGACTTTAATGCGATATCATGGTATATAAAACAACACAGGGTTAAGTTGATATAGGGATAAAACTTGGGCACTGTGGTGGTTGAGTATAATTCCATCATGGGTAAATTTCATTTTGATAAAGTCACACACAGTGGTGTTACACAGTAAGTAATATTTACTGATGATAACCACGTTTCGAGCACAATATATTACTGCTCATTGTCATCATATCAAGGCACTACTCACGTCACTTTTTCGCTTCGTTTATAAACATGAGCAAAATCGACCAGACATATGAATAAAATCAATAAAAGACATGCGTGAAACAGAAAGGAAGATAAAGTACGTTCGGAAATAATATTCGTGTTATCAATAAAATACAATAGGATGGAAAATTAAATATTTTTATAGTCAAAATAAATAACTTGTTACAATGTTATGATGTGAATGGAATTGAATACATTTTAACATTATTTATCATCCTCTGATTCAACTGGTGGTAATAATATCTTCCATACATATCTCTGGTATTTGCATTGAGTCACTTCTTCTGTACTATGTGTTGGGTGAAGACTCGACGAGCCGGGGGGGGTGGGTGGATCCAGTAATCAATCTCTGTCTTTCTCTGCAACTACCTATACTACTTTTTAAAATTGTTGACTCTGTCCCACCTTATTGTATTGTGTGGTGGACTTTGAGTCAGTCGACAAATGACGTAGAATTTGATAATAGCCGCCCAAAAGCAATTCATAGTTTCGTCAGTTGTATACTTTTATACCATAGATGTTGTCCTGAAAAATGACGCCTGCCAGGCATGTATCGTTGCCCGTGGAAGTAAGGTTCGGCGACTGTGTTAACCGTCATGCTTCATTAAAAATTGTGTGAATCGTATGTCCATGGAATTCTTCAGCGATAATACCCGACTTTATTTTACATAAACTTTGATCAATAAATATTTGACAGACATTGACATTGGATGCTGAGGTTAAAGAGGAATTATGTAAAAATTATTATTAATAGAATGGTAATAAAATGTGAATGATGGGAATAATAATGATAATAAAATTATTAAGAACAATAGTAATAATATTAGTGAACTCACATATTAAAAGAAAGAAGCAAAATTATAGTAAGAACTTTCTTTGTCCATAGTAGGTCTAGAGAATCTCTTTTGTTTACACAGGTCCGGTTTTCATGTCTCGAGTAGCTAAATGCTTCAGCTATGTCCATTATGGCGTATCCGAAGTCCCTTTGTACGATATTGAGGGACTCTGTGTACCACTGTGAAGCATTCATGTAGGGGTGCTCGACGTCCAGAGGTGTTGACAAGGTGTTCTATTCGAGGAAGAAGCTGCTATAATATTCTTCTTTTCTCCCCTGACTAACCAAGTTGAGCAGTGTTCCAGGATACGTTTGTGGACTTGACTTAGCGTACGGCCGATATACTTTGCTCCAAACGAGCAAGTAAATTGATAAATACACATTGAAGTGGCTAAAATTATTATTATTATTATTTATATCAATGTCAAGGATATTGGAATAGATAATTCCAATGTTGCATTGATTCAGTAAACTGATTCGAATTTCATATAGGGAAATAATCAGAATTAACATCAGACATGATTGATATCTTGTATTTAAAATCCTTATTCGATCAACCAAAGCTATGCTGATGTGACATTCCATTTATCCCCAAATATGATTTCTACATACATGAATACTATTCAACTAGTATAAATGCTAATCAGTCAAAAAAGTGACAAGTGAATAATACTGATCAATGTATATATTTGCTTTGAAATTATTTATGGGGCCTAATTTGTATGCTAATAGAGGAGACAGGAATACACTGTACCATCGATATGAAGACTCTATAAGATATGAATTTCACAGATGATATTTGTCTGTTATACTGTAATGACAGAAGACAAAGGCCAGGCAACAGATCGTTCTTTGAAAAATCAACAGATATTTATAGATTTCTATGTACATTACTGTCAGCGGAGAAGCGACTTCTTCTGACTGATTGTTTTCTCTGAAGGTTATTCTGTACTGCTTGTGACCGCCGGTTTCTCAGAAAGTTAAGCCACATTTATCTGCGAATCGTATTTCCACACGTTAAGTCTACTGTAATTGGTTAGTGCCAGTGGTCTGGTTCAAATACCACCACCACCACCACCACCACTAATTCTGGCATCATTTAGAACTCTACGTAAGGTCGCTGACATCCTTTCTTTATACGGCAGTACTACAGAGGCTTTGAATTCTATATTATCTATGTCACTTTTGTCGATAGTCTTAGTTTTTCTACGGTTCTTCATGCATTTTTGAATAAATTCTGGTGGGTAGTCAGT